GACGGTGCATCGCGATCTCGATGACGAGGCAAGTGGTCAAGTAGCTGTGTGCCTGTAGAGCAGAAAGATGAAGAAAGCAAACAGTAGGTAGAGAGACTGCACACCCGAGTACATTCCTATGAAGAGTTGCGCCGCAGAAAAAGAAATCCACTCGAGTTCAGGAGAGAGAGAGAGAGAGCAAATAAAGTTGGTTACTCACGATACTTGCCAGAGATCATGTCGACTGGCGACGTTTTGTCGTGGGACGGTGAATGGCTTGAGGCAAGGTTCGGGACAGATGCTGCTCAGCCATAGCTTTCAGCCTCTGCAGAAGAGCAGGAATCTGGCGGTATCTTCGCTCAAGAGTGTTAAACTCTGCATGGATGCTCTCTGCTCCTTGCTCGGCCAGCAAACCGAGCCCTACTCCGAGCCTCTCCATTGCCGGAGCGGTGTGGCTCTCCAGAAGATGAAGCTTCGGCGTTATGTGGCCAAGCCCTCGATCGACCACCTCCTTCCGTGCTGACTTGAGGAAGGTCCTGATGTTGGATTCCAGCTCTTCAACCTCTGCTCGTGTGACCTGGAATAAACAGCACATATTAAATATCAGCTCTGGATCAAATATTCATAATCAAATTCAGAGTACCTGCATCGAAAGTGGAATCATGTGGATAATGGAATTTGATGGCTTGGAACAGACGAAAAAGCTCCCAGGGAATAAATAGTTATATTGAGTTATGTTTACCTTCCTGCAATGGCCAAAGGCAGAAGTACACTTCCTGTACTCGTCCAGCAGCTTCATGTAACGCAACTGGACAACGCTGGCATCATCCATCAGGTCGGGACAGCGTTCCTGAATTACTGAGATGGGAGCAGCAGCAATCGACTGCAGGACAGCGGGCTGAAGTGCGCGGTGCACGTGGTTTCCGATAAATGCACCTCCGTGGTACACCTGGCGCTTGATGTTGTGGGATTGCAGCACAGGTTCGACTGCCGATTCACAAGGCCCACATATGTCTTTTTCAGCAGTTGCGGCAAGTATCTGCTGCGAGATGCCCTCCTTTGCCTTTGTCATCTCCACGACTGTGTCATTGGCCTTCTGCCACTCCGCTCTGATCTGCTCACACACGAACTCTAAGTTACCGCCAGTAACACCCTGGTTGTGGGCATGCAGTGCTACGTAGTTCAGCTGCTGCTGGTAACCAGAGGCCTGTTCCGACGCTGCTGCTATCTGCTCTTCTGCGTCGTGATGGTCGCGATAGAGGCCAGATAGCCGTCCGAAAGCGTCGCTATCTCCAGCAGCAGACTGGGCCTTGCTGGCCAAGAGCTTGTCCAGCTCACGCAGATCCTTCAGCATTGCATCGAACATCCAGGCAAATATGCCCAAGTCCAGGTGGAGGACTGGCACGATGACGTTGGGTAGTGGCACAGGAAGGATTGCCGGACGAATGACGTTGTTGTGTAACTTGGCGTTTGGTAATCTCTCCCCGTCTGCGATGAATTCCAGCAGGTTGCTACTGAGGGTGGCCAGGGAGCGGGGTACACTGTCCTCAGGCTCTCTCTGCAATACTGGCGTCTCCATAGATTTCTTCTTGCAGTGGCAATGTAAGCACGGACGTAGGCCACTTGGTCCCGACAACCCGTACATACTACACTGAAACTCGTAGTCTCCGAAGATGAAGAGGACGAGCCGCTTCCCCTCCCATTTGCCATGTGAGATAAGGTGCAAGACGTCATCGCGGTACATACCAAGTGCAGTTTCCAGATTCGCTGGCGTGTCCTTTGCGTGGAATACACACAGCGGTACGGTGTTGTCCGGCGAGTTGGGGTGCTGCAGGTTGGCTACTTGCATGGAGAACTTGAACGAGTCACCGCCATGGTCCCCGCCCAGCTTTATCCAAACCTCGCTCTCCGGTATTGCACCATCGTGCCATGTCAGTAGCCCACGATCCTTGTATAGCTGGAGGTAGTGGTTGATGACTACCTCCAAGCTGGGCATGTACACCACCGGTGCCAGCGCGATCTGCTTTTTCACCACCATTGGCACGTCCTTGGCCGTGTAGGGTGGAAGGGCTGCTGCTAGTGTTGTTCGCATCTTGCGTTCTGACTCGAACTTCACTCCACACTGCTTAAGCCATTGCCGCAGCTTCCTGAGTTGATTCCACGGGAGCATGAGGTCGGCTTTGATGGCCAAGCCAATTCCAGCCTCGGGCGAATGTGGTGCCAACCCAGCCTCTCTGAGGAGATCCATCTGCTCGTCGCTGCTCATCCTGCGAAGAATTGCTACAGTCTGGGCACTGGCGCCGGCACTTCCACCACATACAGACTCAGTGAGCGACCTCAGTTCTGCTGTTCGCCGTCTCTTCGTACGTTCACTGGCTGCCTCGGAGGATGTGTCAGCGAATGTAAGCCTTTGATATACCTGCGGTCTGCCACGCTCACTTTGCTTCACCTCCAGCTTCCCTGAGTCAGAACGAGCGGAAACCAGGTGGCCAAGCAGCCTGTCAGCAGTATCACCGCGGAGCTTGGATGGTGATGCGTCCAGGACTTGAGCGATTGTAGCCGATTTGGTGACCGGACGTGTCAGTCCTTGCTGGGTTAGTGGTGTAGACACCTGCAACGACGCCAATAAACAAGTAGAACCACCACGCTGTTGACTACTGTGGTTGGCAAGGAATTTTGCCACATGCAGTCCATTTTGCTCTATCATTCCCTTTCTTTATATTCAGTCCATTGCGAAGCTCATTTCTTTTCTGTAATATCTCCACTATCTAATCTGACAATTGCTGTTTTAGTTTTAAGACCTGGTTGGATTGGATACACAGACTGCTCTATAACAGAGATACGCACCTGTGTGGATACTGATGCGCGTGTGTCGATAGATATCTCGGGCTCATGTGGTGCTGGCAGCTGCTGCTGTGAGGTACTGCTTGCCGTGGCCGTTTCAAAGATCTGCACAGATATAATAGTAGTATACACAGTTGTGTTTCATGGAATGCTGTACCATACTACTGCTGAGAATGGTTATCTGCATGCGTAGGACTCGACTGAATTCACTTCTTTTGTATAGGTGCCTACAAGCATTGATTTTGATGTATGTCTGCTGCCGTTGAACACTGTGTTGTGTGTGTTCGTGTTTGCATGTGTGTGCGTGTGTGTGTGTGCACGCATGTGTGTGTGTGTGTGTGTGTGTGTGTGCGCGCATGTGTGTTCATTCCCAATTTTGTTTCATCAATTTCTGCTTGTATACCTGAGTGTCTGCTGTTGTTTCACCGACAACGGTTGTACTGGGCGTAGCCGATACGGACTGCTGCGCACAGGGAGCTGGTGTGGCTGCTGTTGTGTTCTGTGATTGTGATACAGACTGTTCGGCACTGGTAGTCTGTTCAGCTGTAGCTGCACCACGCGTTAATGATGCCGGCTGTTCGACGGTGCGAGTCTCGATCCCCGCGGCTGGGGCTGGGACCTGTTATGAAGACAGAGAATTAATATAAAAAGCATTACATCCATGATTAGGCTCTGACATGTTGCTTTTTGCACATCCAAATTTGACCACACTTACCTGCGTTGGTACTGCCGTAGCCTGGCTGGTTCCCGTGTCTGGTAAGGCTCCGCCGCGCAATTTGGTCTTTTTCTTCGGCGGCCTTCCACCCTTTGAGCGTTGTTGATACAACTTACAGACAGTGCAACCAGCACGTTTGTGACCTTCCCATGTGACTGGTGACCCACAACCACCTCCACAATGCTGTGTGCCAGATGCATTCCTTGCCAGTGCACGTTGGCATAGCGAACATATGTATTTAGGGTGTGTATCAGGTTTGTCTTCTGTGATGTCGATCTGGTGAACTTGTTTTAATTGCTCTTTATATTGCTGAGTGCTATAGCGCATGCTGTGGCCTAGATTAGTGAACTTGGCACCACCAACACGACATACTGAGTCCAAAATGGACAAATGTTCGTCCATGACTGCCCACTAAAGATATCGCACGGGACCAAGTTCCGCTGCGTGGGACTCAACAAGTCATGAACAAAGGGGCTAAAAAAGGCCAGGAGCAGCCTACAAAACTGCCCAGCAGGCTCAGAAAACTCCACGAAGGTCTACAGAGACGTCGGTATTGTAGACAATCACAACATCTTCGTGGAACTACATTTCCGCCATGCGCGACCTCAAGAAAGACGGAACACTTTCGGATTTTCTCGAGTGCGATGTCAGGAAGAAGGCCGTTCTTTCTCCTCGCCCAAACACCAATTTTTTCTGCGGGAAAGTTACGATTAACGCTGAAAACGGGTCTGAAAGCAATCGAAATACTCTAAAACGATGCTATTTTTCAGGTACGACGGACGTACCAGATTTGAAAATTCAAATTTCTGGACGCCATTTTGGATGGCCACTGATCGCATGCACGGGACAGCCGTGGGCAGTGAAATCCTAAATATGCAGTTTCAGCTACAGTACGCATTCGAGTATGTGAGTACCAATGGGTACTGTACTAGGTACGCAGCCGGGTGTGATATAATAATCTTTATTTCAGGATTACCCAAAGGCTAACGCCTATCTGGGGGATCTCCTATTTGTGTATGTACTAGTAACATAGTTATGGATATGGAGCAGCAGGGGTGATATGGAGCAGCAGGGGTGATATCGGCCTATATCACCCGCCTAGGAAGGGCAGTGATTGGCCCATTCCTAGGAAACGGTCACCTGATATGTGATAATCGCCGGTATCACCCTTGTACTCATGAGATATTCTTTACATATTACACGGGGGCCGGCCGGCCGGCCTAGTGTACTGAATGCCAAAGGTCAAGAAATGGAGCTAACCATATATTGAACGATAGGTTCAAAGGTCAAATCGTGTGCAGACATTTGCGCATTGCCAAGATCTAGACTGGAAGATCAAGAGTAGTCTACGGTAGAGTACGGTAGAAAATCAAGAATGCCATGCTCCAGTTCGGGAATGAAGAGGCTTGTCCCAGGCCAGTCTGAAAAAACTCAAAAAGGGCTGTTGTAGTTCGTACTCTAGTCTATTATTATGCAATTAGGGCAAGGCTGCTGGTAGCCAATGAAAGTATTCAGAGCAAAGCATTGAAGAACACCAGGAAGAAATCATGGAGTTCGCTGCTTTGGCTGTACTGCTGTTGGCGGCTGTGGTCAGTTCCACACCTGGAGAGCATAGCACCCGCGACAGTTCGTCACAAGAAGGTGGGTTGTGCTCGTACACTAGTATGCCCACACCCTGCATGTCCTTTTTAAAATATGTAGGCATCATATTTCGCAATGTCCACTACGGTTTCTCTCACTGTGAGTCTCGGGGCCGTAGGAAGCTGATCTCAACTGGTCCGGCGAACTGCGATGTCAAAGATACCAAAGCACATACTAGTATTTAAAATTACTACATAATTCGGGCACATTTATGCCTACGATTATAGTTGGTTGGTTGGCTCGTAATTTTTCTTCGCTAGAACGAACTGGCATTGCTGCCTTCTTGCATGAATTGTCCATGCTCTCACATAGCGAGAAGGCGAATAAGGGAAGGAAATAGTACTATGGCGGTCAACTCACGCTCTATCCAGCCTGCAGTTCTTTGAAATCCATCTCCCACCAGCACCAGCAGTTCGAGCCTCGCGCCTAGTCTATGTGGGTCGGTATCTTGTTTAGCACGCCTGTGCATCAGTTTGCACTAGTTCGGAGAGCAATGTTATAGGTTTAACAAGCATGGCATGCACTTGAGAATACTCACCAATCCGAATACTGAGGTGACATACATAGCAGCAACATAATACTTACTTGAAGCATTTTTTCACACATACCTACCCACCCATTCCTACCGTACTCGCGCGATTAGAGCCCTCTCTCGAATAGTGCCCCAGTCTCTAAGGGCCAGTTAAAAATAAAGCCCCCTCTTGAAGCCCCCCCCCCCCCCCCCCCAGGCTTGTACCAAGCACATGTGAAAGTTTGATGTTCTTTTGGTAATGTTCTTTTTGAATTCTTTTATTCTCACGATGGCCTGTGGCCAATAAGAGAACTTCTTGTCCATGTCATTGAGCTAGTGGTTTCAGAATCAAGATCTCAGTTCCTGTTGCCCTTTCTGTTGAGTCGTGATAGTTTACAGTTAACTTTAGGCTATGTTTTTCTTCAACTTCTTTGTTTTTATGCTGGATGACGTAAATGTACCAGCATTGAGAAAATAACGCCCTCTCTCGAATAGTGCCCTCTCTTGATTAGTGCCCCAGTGGCACTAATCACGCGAGTACAGTATATCACTATTTTTTTGGTCTCTTTTTATCACGGCCAACTCAGCATCCACATAGTTATCACCTGTACCAAGAAGAGGAGG